TACTTCAATGAGCTGGATGCCCTGGTCTCTAACTTCATAGCTAAGAAGAAATATATATATATATACAGAGAGAGAGATGGATTAGATAAATTAGATAGATAGATAGATAGATAGATAAATTTAATCAAAGGATATTAAATATATTTCAGATGTTATTCATCTACACTGTACTCATAAGTAATTTACAGAATTGTCACTTACGTTCAGGAGTAGTACAGTCTCTTGTGTTGTGATAAATTCTATGAACGTATATGCTGCACTTTGGGTTAAAATAAAGGGGACCTGTAACAGGGAAGAAGAAAACCGATCATGAGGATTCAGCAAGTTGCAAAAGAATTTGAGGTAAAGGAATTAAGAAGAAAACTTACCCGTAAGATGTTTTATGAATTTCGTCTTCAGTTTTTGAACATGAGCAATAATTTCTATTTCAGGGTAAAGAAATAAGAAGTGAATTATTATTATATTACCTGAAAGAAGCATTTTTGTTTTCATGTAACATTTAGTTCAGATTGAAGAAAGTTACTGGAAATTCTGCATTACTCAGATTATTGGTTAAATAAAACAGATCCGAGCCACATTTGATTGTTATACATGACAGTATGAAAACTTGTATTCAGGTGCATATTTTTCTTGCAATTAATTAAAGGGAGCACAAAGCTCCAATGTTATCTTTCCTATCCCTATCACCATAATGCAGACAGTGATCATAAAGCTTTTGGGGAAGGTTATGCTTTGACAGTGAGCTTCCAGTCAGTAAATCACTTCTAGACACTTCCATTTTTCAGACCTTAGAAATCAAATGCCATAACCTCTGAAAGTTCTAAGAGGAAAATCTGACTCTTCAAACAATAAATGTATTATAGAATTTGCCTTTTCTGGTATATATTAGATAAAGGTTAAATTGAAGTGAAAACCACCTATTGAGAAGGCCTGTGTAAATAAACAGAAATACACATTTGCCTTGTATACAAGATAAACAAAATTGTCAAGGAAAACTCTTTCAAGCAACTTCTTCTTTTACAACATTTCTTGTTTTGCTCTTGGTTTATAGCACTCGTTTTCTGATCTTTTTTTATTTCAACCTTCGTGTATTATAGTCATCTTTAATCATT